TTACCAACTGGAATGGATAGCGGCACAAAGGGCCCGAAAGCACTCTCAGATCAGGTGAGTGGATGCCATTGACTGACGCAAATAGACAATATCACAACAAAAGCCCATTTAAATCATTAGGGAAAATCCAAATCAAATAGCTACAAAGGAATGCCATACCTTTAATCACAGGAAATTTCTGCGTATGGGTACAAGAGAATTGCTGACCCCCACCATGGCAGGTTGTTTTGGAAAAAGGGAGAATCAATCCCATATCCAGAGATTTTTTTTTTCTCAAGAGAACTCAACAAAATGCAGATGCTCTTCTGTTAACATGTCTGTTACAACAGACAATGCAGTGGTAAACAACTTTCCCCACTTCCAAAACAATTAAGAGAATGGAGGAGAAACAAATTTCAAAACAAGTATGTGAAAAAAAAGAATGGGTCAAGAGGAAAGCCGATATGTAATGAATGGATGGGGTGCTGAAAAAGAGAGAGGTAAAAAGTTTAAAAAACAAAAACACAATATATGAAGCAGCATACAGACATAATGGAGGCCAGCACAATTTGCAAACATAAAAGACATGGGGAGATTTAGTGAATACCGTTGGTATATGCTAAATTTATTCCTTGCTTGCTTGCTTGCTTTTGTTAGGCTGCCTAATCCCACTATGACCTTTAGGCATGTTCCCCATTTTTACCTCATGTCTTCAATTTCTTTAGTTTATTATTTCCCACTTCTCTCTTTTTCTGCATGGCAGTTCCTCTGAAAGAGAACAGTGTGATGTTATTAATTTTAACTATTGCACGTTTTATTTCTTTTTAATCTTTTTTTCTCGTGTAAGCTACTCGGGGTGGGGGAAGAGCAGTATAATAGAGAAGTAAAGCAACAGCATTAGTATCAACTTAGCTGCTTTTCAACAGAAAGATTTGCAGACTGATGTACTAATGAGATGGAATGGATTTAAAGGGTGAACACCAGGGAACCCGGCACACACTGACCTCCTTTTCTGCAGCATCACCTGCCAGACAGAATTGGGTAAAGAAGAAAGCTCATACACCAAGACATTTTCGCAAGTAAAACTAAAACTGTTCAGATATTTTCCAAGCACAAGCTCTTGGGACTAGAACAGAACGGCAGACTTTCAAACACTTTATAGGTTTGAGCAAGGAAGTTGAAAAACAATGTTAAGCCTGGGGCAAAAAACTATGCTGTTGCTCCATTAAACTACTCCAAGGACAAACTAAGTAGCCAAGGGAGCAGAACACTCTGTCAGACAGAATCAAGTAAAGGGGCTGAAGTAGACAAGCTCTGATGGAGATGGGCAGTTTCTTAGTTAGATAGATAGATAGATAGATAGATAGATAGATAGATAGATAGATAGATAGATAGATAGATAGATAGATAGGTAGGTAGGTAGGTAGGTAGGTAGGTAGGTAGGTAGGCAGGCAGGCAGGCAGGCAGGCAGGCAGGCAGGCAGGCAGGCAGGCAGGCAGGCAGGCAGGCAGGCAGGCAGGCAGGCTATTGTTACTTCTTCCCATGCCCCAAGAGCTGAAGGACCAAAAGATGGAAATTCTCAACTAGGGTTAGAGAAATCCCCATGAATTTCTGGGCTGCAACATTCCAGAATTCCACTAGAACAGGGTTGTCAAATTGCCAGCCTGCAGACCAGATGCTTCATGTGGAAGCCGCACCCACACCAGCTCCAGCAAGGGGAAAAAAGTTGTGATACGTCACGACACGTCAGGTGTTTGACACCCCTGCACTAGAAGGAAAGAAAGAAACAAAAAGCATCACACTCTTGACACTCACTTAGGGATCACATTGATTGTTGTGGTCCAGTGCCCCTATGCTCATAGGCATTACCAACTCAGCTGAACTTTGCAGTACTGTTCAGTTTGATTTGAACAGGGAATGTCTAGTGACTCTAGTCTATGAAGTGGCAGAGGGCAAGATAGTTTCCTGGAGAATGTAGGGAGGACTCAAACTGATTTAACTGGTTCAATTCCCTTTAAACTGACTCCTGTTAGTACAGAAGGCCTAACTGGTTCATGGACTCTAGTTCAGATGTGTCAAGAATACATTGAAAGTATAGATGCAGCCCAGCCTCTTTTTTTTTGCTATGATATACCAAAAATGAAGGGAAGTCAGAAATGAAAAGAGAAACAATCTGCTGTAAATTATCTAATTATTCAGTCAGTAAACAGTTTAGTTTCTGTCCAAGCTATTGCTATAAACCTCCTGGTTTTGAATGCTACATAGAAAGGATTGCTCTACAGCTTGTATCTTCCTACGTGATTTTGCTTTTTCTTGGGAAACCGGATGTTTGAGCTCACCTCCTACTAATATTGCTCCAATATAATTATCTGTGACTTGAAGCAGTGAGGGTCGTCGGATGACCTAGCTGGCAATGAACTGTCCTCAGAGTAGGATTCAGCTATAGAAAAAGCCTTGCTGCAGGAAATCCTTAGACTGAGATTAAGAAGTCACAAGGTCAATCTTTGAAAAATTCCCATGAATGTACTTGTTTGTCAGATTTGTGCTCTGTTTCTGCTCTGATGAGTGTCATGCCAGTTAACAAAACTTAAAACAAAATAATAAAAAGTCGAACAGGTGGATTAAAGGAGAGAGATTAAGGATTTCCTAAAGAGTGGGGATTAAACATAACTTTCAAGGGCATGCATTTTGCAGCCTGGGAAGATGACAAGGGGAAACCTCTCTTAGCTTGTCAAAAAGAAGAACAGTTCCTTGTCTATCCTAGCAACCAATTTCCTAATAGGAGATGAATGCTTTTACAAAAGCCTTCAGCCATTTAGCATTCAACAGCAACAGGAAACTAGAAACAAAGTTCCGGGTTCCCCAAGAACTATCCATTTTTGATCTCCAAATTATTGCCATTTAAAAATAGGATTGGATCACAAAATAAAAAAAATTGAATGCACAAGAGCTATTAGTTGAGGATCAGGGAGGAGAAGCTGAGATGGACAGGACAACAGAAGCCAGATAAGCCTTCTCTAATGATTTGCTCAAGAATGTAGATGAGAATATTCATTATTTATTACAGTCCATCTTTTGCCCAGGATTTCTAGGTGGTATGCATGGGTGTTCCTCCTCCAGTTTTTCCTCACAAAAACCTTGTGACATAAGTTGGGCTGAGAAAGATTGTCTGATTCAAAGACACCTAGAGAACTTCCATGGCTGAGATAGCAGTTAAATATGGGTTTATCCATCTAGTCCAACATCTTGATGGCCATTTTATACATGGAATACTTAGGTTATGATGGTAATTGGGAACAGGACTGCCATTGCTAAGCAATGTGTCTTATCACATGACTGTATTACTTAGTGACAACCATCCCAGCAGTCCTAATTGCTGCTGTACGCCTGAAGCATCTAGATTGTTAAGCAAGAAGAGGCAGGAGTCCCAGGTAAAGAGGCTGGGGTGGCTGTGGGGTGGCTGGGGGTGTCATGAGTGAATGGGGGGGGGGGCTGGGAGGGCCAACACAGATCACATGAAACTTAGGAGAGGGTTGGTGTAGGCTATGCACAGATAGGTGCTGTGGACAGGAGAGAAAGTGGGAGTGATTTACCAGAGCGACTAGCCATCCCTGCCAACTTCCCCATTGATTTTGCTTGTGTGAAGCTGGCAGAATACATCAAAAAAATGGTGATCGTGTGACTACAGCTCCCTGCAATGTTATAATCATGAGCAGGGCAACTGAATGTCTGGACTGCAATTATGTGAGCAGGGATGCTGCAGTGGATATAACTTTGAGGACCAGTTGCTGTCCTTTTTCTTCAGCACTGCCGTAACTTTAAACAGTCGCTGACAAATGGATGGCAGTCAAAGACTATCTGCATTTATTATATACTAAAATATGGAGCAGAGCCAGTTTGCTGTAGTGGTGGAGGTATCCAGCTAGAAACTGGGAGACTGGCTTTTAGTTCTGCCTTGGGTACAAAGCCAGTTGGGTGACCTAAGGCCAGTCACTTTCCCTTAGCTCTAAGAAGGAGGCAATGGCAAACCACTCCTGAAAAACTTTGCCAAAACAACTGCAGAGACTGGCCCAGGCAATTGCCAAAGACAATACTGATTCCAAGACACCCACAAAATACATATAGAACACCAATACAATATATGAAGAGAACATTGAAGCTCTAAGCAAAACAACAGAGAGCAAGAGTTTCTCAGGAAAGACTTGTGAGAGATCCTATACAGATTTGTTACATTGTGACTCAGAGATTTGGACTATCTACCCATTTACAGTAGTAGAAATATTAGCTAAAATCATCTTATCAGTTTTGGACTGAATAAGATCCATTTTGTCTCATAAGGCTCTCTCTCCTGGACACGTGGGAGTGTAATTTGAAGTGTTGGAAGGTGTTTGTGGCATACAGACGTCCATCTGTATCCATTTAGGATAAAACAAGCTTGATTCCATAGTGGGCTTCAAAAATAGTTGGCCACAGACTTTTCAGAGATGGGTGTTCGATTTGGAATGGCCCAAAGTTATTTCCGTGATCCCATGTCCCGTTCCTTGTTCTTCTGTTTCCCAGATAAGTTGGTAAATATTGTGAGGTAGCCCAGAGCTTAGTTTAGGAAAATACACCTTGTGTCCTTAATTAACTTTATTTTATTTAATTAAACTTAATTAGGTTTAAATGTCATTAAGGACGACTGTGAATTCTGTTTTCTGTGCGAAAAGAACTGCTTTTCATAAAAGAAAATTTATAGTTACCTGGTAAGAAAGTATCGACACTCTAAATAACAGCCCGGCTTCCTGGAAGAAAGTGAAACGTTTTTGTACTACCTGGACAACCAATAAAGAAATACAATGAAGAATAAGGGGCGGGGATTGTTATTTGCATGTTTCCGCCTCCGTTCCCATTTCCGACTCGTCTTTGCCTTTGAGAGGCGTGCTTAGCGCATTGCAACTCCCTTCTCCCGATTTTCATTGGTCCAACGCCATCCTTCGTAATCGTGCCCGCCCCTCTGATAAAATGTCAATGACATTCTGGAACGCTCAGACACCTATTAAAGTTGTGATTGGCGGAGCGGAGGCTTCTTAATATATTCGTAATCGGGATCCTGTTGCTCTCAAATCGTTCCGGACCAGCCCTGGAAACACCTGCTACTGCTCCGAAGCCGGACTGCCAGCCGGATTGCTTCAGGCTAGCCCCCTTGAAGTTGCTTGCCTAAGACTTTGCATCCTTCAAGTGACTCGAAACTCTTTTGATTCCGGTTGAGGTTCTTGGGACATTCGATCAAGCGAAGGAGAAACATGGACAACGGGGGAGGGAACGAACAGCGGCTCTTGCCTCGATTGTGCTGCCCGGAAAAGGGGCCGAACGGTTACGGCTTCCATCTACACGGGGAGAAGGGCAAAACGGGCCAGTTCATCCGGCTGGTGGAGCCCGATTCCCCGGCCGAAAAATCCGGTCTGAAGGCTGGGGACCGCTTGATAGAAGTGAACGGAGACAACGTCGAGAAGGAAAGTCACCAGCAAGTAGTGAACCGCATCCGAAATTCGGCGGGGTCGGTGCGCTTGCTGGTAGTAGACTCGGAGACCGACCAGCATCTGCAGAAGCTGGGCCTCGAGTGCCGAGAAGAATTCATTCGTGGGCTGCCGGAGAAACCCGAGGCGAGGCGAGGCGAGCAGGAAGCTGCCCAGCAGGAGCAGGAGAACGAAATGAAAGCGGATGGAGAGGAAAACAACCACATTTCTCAGCGGGTAAAAAAAAAAAAAATCTAGGTCTCATCCGCGAGAGGGAGAGGCGGGAGGTTACGAACGCAGGAGGTCGAAAGGTCCGTGGGTTGATCTGAAAAGGCGGAAGGCAGAAATTCAACAGGCGAGGACTTTCCCATCCCAGAATCGGCAAGAGCTCACCTGTTCCATTTTTTTTCTTTCTCTTTCCGCGAGGTTTTCCGAACGCTACTCCTGCGGTGGCCGGCGGAACTACCGTCCACCCCACTGAATTTCTGCCAATTACTGGGCTCAAAAAAAAAAAAGCACAAAATCTCTGCTAAAATACAATTAAGTGGGTTGGGCGAGGATTACTCACGGGAAGAAGCAGGAAAGCGCGTTAAGCAAAGTTTATGGTGTGTTTCCGAGCAGATCTGGCGTGACAAATAGATGCGCCTAGAAGTGGGAGCTAGTGAAAAGTTTTCGCTGTTGGTTGGTTGATAAAGAGCAAAAAGTTCCAAACTCTCCTAGATTCTCTTCCCCCGGCACGTAAATTCCCTTTGACGCGATGGGGGATAAGGTGGTTTCTCTTGACGTGATCGACAAACTGCGTTACTCTTGAGAAAGCATGAGTAGCCATGTTGACTAGAGAGGGAGGAGGAGGACTCGGAGGGAGAGAAAGCCAAGGGAGGGCAACAGTTCTGTTGTGCCCCTTCTTCCCACCGGCCACCCCGGTCCCGGGTCGTCATTTTTTATTTTTTTATTTTTTAAAGAAAGCTATGGGTGGCTTCCGCCGGGTGAGAACCGAGCGTGAGTCCTGCCGGCAGCCACACGGCTGCGTGGCGCTGCCGTTTGCCTCGGCTTGCAGAGAAGCCGAGAGCAGATTTCGGATGAAAAATTTCAGAGAGGCTCTGCCATGTAACCCCCTGCCAATCTCCGACGTCTGCTGCGTTCCCAGACGTCAGAGATACCCCGTGGGAAGAGAATCGGGCATTCCTGTGATCCGGCGGCCCAAATCGAGTTCGGGTGTTCCTTTAAAGCTCCGGGAGGAGGGGGCGTTGTCAATGTCTCCTGGCCTTAGATCAGCGAAGCGGAAAAGAACGTTCGAAGGATCTGGGCTTCGCTACTTGATCGCATCAGTTTTCCCCTGTACCTGAATTAAGAGATTAAGTGGTGCCTGGTACTCTTTGTAACAACTCCGCCTCCCTTATAAAACTCTGTCTTAAATGGTTAATGGGTACATCAAAGCTGAAATCCTCTCCGGGCAGCCTTCTTCAATCTGCTTCATTCCTCAAATGTGGCTAAAGCTACATTTGGGTATTGTGTTCCAAATTCGAGTGTGTGTTATTAAAGAAAAGGTTATCTTTCCCAGTAGATACTTGAAAAAGTGGGGTGTTGCCTTCCACTTAAATCACCATGTTGGGGTTTACTGCATAAATGTAGTCAGGTCACCTTATTTTATTTCATTATGTCATCACATTCTGTGATGTGACAAAATAAAGGTATTTTGGTGTGATAAGTGGGGCTTATTTTCATGTATGCTACTTTCTTTCTTCCCTTGCTACTTTGTTGAATTCAAAGCAAGAGGAATTCATTGAGTTTTTAAAAAGCTTTAAAAATAATTAGCACCTTCCTGCATACTTCCTAAACTCTGGAAGGCATAGAATAAAACAAATCAAGTACTTACTGCTTATTGAGCTACCATAACCTGATATTAAACATCTGGTGAATTTTTAATTGCCTCGGTGAAACTGGCCCCATCTTGAACCCTGCAGGGCATAGAGAACTTTGAAGATTTAAAAGCAGAGGGGTAGGAAAAAAGAAACCCAGTTATCTGAACAGGAACTTGGAATTGTTGTTTCCTGAATCTTGTTTTCCTCCCCATTTTTTAAAACATAAACGTATTCAAGTTTTTTTTTAATTTTCAGTTACCTAAACAATTTAGTGAGCTCAGATCTTTTCTGCTACTTTTAATGCATTTTACATTGATATATAGAGAAATTTAATGTGTTCCACTGATCAGAGAGGTAGATTTAATTCCAAGATATGTAGTCAAGTATTGCTGGTCATACCACTTTTACATGAACTTGAGGAAGAAAATGGCTTGGTCAACCAGAAATGTGGGCGCTCCATCACTGGAAGTTTTTAAAAAGAGCCTAGACTAGTCACTTGTCTGAAATGGTATAGGTTCTCCTGCTCAAGCAGGGGGCTGGACTAGAAGACCTCCAAGGTCCCTTCCAGATCTATTCTATTCCATTCTATTCCATTCCATTCCATTCTAACTTGCTGAAACTTGAAGCTAAGCTGACTTTGGGGAGAAGATTCAACAAATGGATGCTGTAACCAAAAAGGCCCTGTTTGGTATATCAACTAGCTTATGGTAGTTCTCCTAAGGATATGACCATACATTACATCTTTAGGAGATCATACTTTAGGGACCAACATGCTCCTTCAACTATTAAGGCCTTACAAGTTTTTTTTAACTGATACCTAACATAGATTGATATAAATAACAGGGTTTTCTCTGCAATCTCTAAATATTTAAGAAATAAGCTGATGATAAAACAGTTCTTTTACTTTAGAATCCTGTTAAAATAATTTTGACTGAGAAGCATTTCTCTATCTTGGAAATCTAAAATGTTCCCCCGAGGTTCCGTGGTGGATATATGTCTGCTTATAGACTTCTACTAGTGCATTTTGTGACTTCCCCTGTTAGCAATTAACTTTTGAGGGAGAGATGATGGGCCTCAGTCTTTTGTTGTAGGAACCTTTGTTCGGATAGCTCCCAAAACAAATGTAGAAAAGTGCTGGAAACCATTAAACTGAGTTTTAAAAACTGAAGCAATTAAAGAAAGATTGCTGATAAAATCAGCAGTTGGACCACTGTCAGGTCAATAGTAACTCCCTTTATATTCCAGGACTTTGCTCTTGTGCTGCTTTCTATTTCTGATTTTGCTTGAAAGGAGGCTTTAGGAATGAGCACTTGCTGAATGCAGTGGAATGAATATTCATATGATCCTAGATGTTTGAAATCAGGATTACGGCATTTGGAATCCTGGATGTGATTAGACCAGGGCTCTTCAAACTTGGCCCTTTTATGACTTGTGGACTTCAACTCCCAGAATTCCTCAGCCAGTGTGCCTGGCTGAGGAATTCTGGGAGTTGAAGTCCACAAGTCATAAAAGGGCCACGTCTGAAGATCCTTGGAGTAGACTGACAGAAAGTCAGGCCCTTCTGCCAACACTTGAGAACATGTTTATTATTAAGCATTGATCAAACTGGACTTACAGCAATATGACCAGCAATAATAACCTTCTGTGAAACAGAGAAGTCATTTGCCTAAAAAAAAAGAAAAAAAAAGTGAAAGCTGTACATATAGGGAATGTAAAAAAGAGTGAAGTACAGGCTTCCCATGAGCAAGTCAAGTGACTGCGATAAGTGTTGTAACACAAAGCTTGATTAGATTAGTTTAAATCATAAATGTCTGCCATGGGGCGGTGGAATACCTGGCTTTGACTGAATTCATACTTATGGGGAAGTGGATATAGATAAAGGCTAGCAGGGGAATGTGAAATGTACAGCTGTAGAAAGGACATAATTTGGACTTGAGTCAGCTTTGTGGAATGTTTAATACAGGTGGGCAGTCTATTGTCCTTTTAAATATTTTAGATCACGGTTGCCACAATCCCTGCTAGGCATCATCTTGCCTATACTCCTGTCCAAAAGGCTGGGGAAGAGAACAGGTTTGGCATCAACTGAAGGGATCCCAGTCATCCAGAACAACAGTTCTCAGGTTGCAGTTTTGGACCTATCAGTGAACCTCAGCATTGGTCGAGCTGGCTTATAAACATTCCTGCTTCTTCTTCAGTCTTGATTTCAGTCTAATATAAATCCTTAGCTACATTCCTACCCATTCTACATTCTTGGCTGCAGCACAGATTGACTGATTGATTATGGGCCATCAAACCAAACTCTTAGCAACAACGTAGCTAGGTTTTATCCAGGAATAGATTTTCTAGTTCTATTAGTACCAATAGCAGTTCCATTTGCAAACATATAGCTGTGTGCATGTTCAACGTGAAGGCTATATCTAAATTGAATTGTTTAAATGCCTTCAAAGACGTTTAGATGATATGACATTTTAGTGCATTTGAGAAATGTCTCCTCCCTTTCCCCTTCACTTTGGAAATCCAAATGAAACTGACCTGATTTGACCTCTTGATTTGAATGTCCAGGTCAAATCAAACTGGTTTTTCCATATTAGATTGACATTCAAATAGCATATTTCCCAATTTGAATATACACAAGAGTTAGCGAGAGCACATGGCGACGTGAATGCTGCAGCGGCATGGAAAGTTGATGAAGAATTGGGAGAAGATACAGATGCAGAATTCAGTACTTTTATCACTCCGAATACTGTAGTAGGAATAGCCAAAGCATAGGTTGTTTAAATGGAGCACCAAATCTTCCAGACTCCACTATGATCCATCTAGTAAAAACAAAAAAAAAAGCTTTAAAAAAAATCCTTAATACGGTATGTTACTGCCTATAATATCTTGTGACAAAGAAAGAACATTACAGTCCCTTTTTTATTTGATTCCTGCCTCTTTTGTCTTGATAGGTTGGAAACTATATGCAAACCACTGGAAGCAGACAGTCAGATCTGCATTAGTTAAGGGTTACTTCTCGGGAGAGGGGCAAAGGGAAACGATTCTCACCATTGCCAGAAAGCATGGGTCCTTGATTGTTTGGAACTGCTAGGCATCTGGAATTTTGAAAGTGTATTATGGGCGTTCTCACAAAATGGCTGCTAGGGAAGGAATGAGCTAGCTAGCCAATAAACACCCATTCACGAGAAGGTTGCAAGAAAGCAAATGTGGTCCATTTGTTCCCTGCAACATTTTTGACCTCTCCCCCAGAATAAGCCTAAATTACTGCCTCACTTTCTCTTTCTTATGAGCATGCCAGCTTGTTTTCAACAAAGCAATGTACTGCAGCTACTCATCATTCTTATTTGCTAGGAAGGCTTCTGTGGGGCCCAGAAAACA